CCACTTTAAATTTTTTTTTGCCTCACACTAAATGTATGCAAACATTCAAATAGTTTGGTATATGAATAAAAGTAATTTTAATAGTATAGTACATAAACTATTTTTAAAAGCAGTATTTTCGCTTGCTAAAGGAAAAGCGCTGCATTACAAACCATTTTATTATTTTGTTATAATGAACGCAAATTATGTAGATTTATTTTAGTTTTAAGCAAAATCTTATGTTGCGCATTTTGATAAATTGCGGCTTTTTTAATCTGGTTTAAAAAATTCAAATATTATTTGCCGTAATCTAAAATTACATATAATGTGATTTATTGTATGTATACCTTCATGAGTAAAAGTTATGGAGTAAAATTTTTAAAGCACTTAAATTTTCTATTAACTTTGCTATAATAATTTTCAATTCTATTCTTTTTCTATGTGAAAATGTAAAAGGTAAGTAAATTTTTTAAAACTCTAAGAGCTCAAACTCAATGTTTCAAAAAGAAAAAAATTATTACCATAATGTATTATGACTTTACGAAAAATGACAGTAACGCTTCATAATCTTTTATATTCGCATTTTATATTTTACTTTTTAATGTAAAAGTATAGAGCTGGCATGTATAAAAAGTGTATATATGAAAAATTAAATCAGTTTAGATTCATTTAATATTCAAGTTATTTCTAAGTTTGCATACATTAAAGTTTAATTCGTTGCTACCAAATATTTTAAAATTTTTGTCTCAGTATGGCAATTGTAACTATGTAGTATGGCGTGTTCTATCATTCAAATCGGTATGGTTATCTTTATCTATTTAGAGTGCGAAATGTCAACCTAATTGCATTTCTAAATAAATGCTCAGAAAATCTTTGAGAAAGGCACCATTTTCTTAACATAAATTATGTAATAAATGATTTGAGTGGTTACGGAACAAAGTTGTTTTGACAATACCAAGAAATTGATAAACAGAATCTATTTTAACATTACATTTATGTAGATTTCATACTATAATTCTCCAACTGCCCCGAATTCCAAAAATTCGGCGCCAACATACATCTAATAGTAATTAGATTAATAATAAGCTAATATGAACCATTAAGCATTAAAAAATTGGTTTCTAAATGATACAAAAATATTTTAAGTTTGAAGAAAACCACACAACAAAATGTAAGATAATAAAGATCTGATCTGGTGATAGTTAGTTCCTATATATCTGCAAAAACACAAAAAAAGATTATTAAGATTTAAGTTAGCAAATTAAGGGCATATCTAAATTATCGAAAATCGCTTAATTCTGATGCAAAAAGTGCAGTTATAGTTCTTTTATGATGCTATTCAATGTTACGGAACAGAATAGTTTTCTGAAAAAAAATTTTTAAAAATAAGATGAAAGAAGAATTTGAGAATTTAAGTGCAATGTTGCATAATAATCATATCCATCCAAATTAAGAATGATATATGACTCATCGAAAACTGCGCGAATGAAGACAAATGGGGATATAATCGTCCGTAAGTCGTATTTGCAGAAATGGAAATTTAGAATTGATTACGAATTGAATTAAATACGAATTGATTGGTACTACCTTATCATTTTTCTTAATCTCAAAATCGAATTACATGATAAAGACCCTGTCCAATTTCGGATTTGTAAACTTTTAATGAAATTTAGGGTTGATATTTAACTTCAAAGGAAAACTTAATCAAGCCACAATTGGTTTTTTAGTTACACTTTAGATTTTTCAATACAAACAAAACAAATGTAGAAACTTAGGTGTCAAACCCATTATTGCCACTGCTGATTCTCCTAAGAAAACATCCAATGCCTGGAAGATAACAAAGTGTTTTTCAATATTGCTCATTTTAAGTAGTTTGAGTAAGAGATATGCTTTACGAAATGAATAGCATTAACATCATAGAACAAAAACATTAAAGAGAAGAAAGAAAGAGTAATAATCTATCTGTTCCAATTATATATATGAGAAATATTGTTCGTTGAAGACATTTTACGGAAAACAACAGTGTTGTATTAAATTGCTTTTGTGATATTTCAAAGAAATTTTTTTAATGATTATTAAGCTTGATATTAAATTTTTTCATATATAATATAAAATATAATAATTTGATTTATATTAAATTATTTGAACATAATTATTGTACTACAACGTATGTAGATACTTGGAATATTACGAAAATTTTATGTTTTCTTTCATGAAAGCTACAGAAAAGATTTTACTCTTGTTTTATTATAATGGAAAATTGTCATAATCTTTAACATTTCACTAAACTTGGAAAAATTGTATAGGTTACAAAATTAATTGTTTGGTATTACACCTGATTCTTGTTTATTACAAACAATTTATTGAATGAAACAACATGAAACTAAAATGATTTGATGAAAAAAACTAAAGCTAGAAAAATTAAATGTTAGGTAATGAGATTCATTTCAAAAGACGAATTTCGCTGGCAGGTTTGTATTTAATAGAGCAAAAATATTTTAAAAAGTTTTTGTCCTCATTTTAAAATTTTAATTTGAATACCTCAAAGTCCAGAGGTTCTTTTTCATAAATCACAAAAATATTTAAATATTTTATTATAAAAATATTGGCAGTAAATTAATTAATTTTGGTTGATTTAGAAGACGGGAACTCTAATTTTCTAATTATTTTTTTACATGTGGAACGTTGACGTAAATTAATGACAACAAATGTAAATAACATGTTCACTTTACTAAAGTTTGTGAATGTATTCAGAGCATTGTAATTATATTTAGAACTATTTTCATGAAATAAGTCAATACCATTAAAATCAGAACTTAAGATTAAAATAATTTTTATATTTTGAACGTAATCGAAAACGTTTTGAATTTTTAACAAAAAATTCATTTAATTTGAAAGCAAGAAATGCTTAAATAAATAAACCATTTTCTTTTAATAAATTAAAATTTAATAAAAAAGTAAAAATTTAAAACTCTTAAAGGTTTATGAGTAAATTCTTTTTCATTTGATGAAATTATATTTTTTCTTTATCAGTTCAACGACAAAATTATCAACTTTAATTCCTAAAAGGAATACAAAAATTTTTCTAAAAGAAAATAATATAAAAACATTTGTTACGAGTAGGGGGGTGGGGGAGTAAGGGAGTGAGGTTTGACTATGGAGAATTGAAATTTTTCATTCACTTTGGGAATTATAAAAAAATCTGAAAAATAAATTTGAATTTGATTACTTATTTTTGTTACAGCTGTTTTACTAAATTTGATAGTTTGTGTACTTTTCAGTAAATTTCAATTGAAATTTCTGATTAAATTTGTAATTTCTAAAGTAAAATCTAAATTACAACGTCCATTTCCATTATAAAATTTGATTTTTAATAACTTTTTTCTTGCTGGAGGCCAGCTTGATACCACATAGTGTGTTGATTTTTGACTTGAATTATTGTGTACTTTATTAATTTTATAACCTTTTTGCAACATGTAAATTTTAAATAAAATTTTGAAAAAGAAAATGTACTTAATAAACCAAATTTTTTACATCCATCCAGAATCTCCAACTTGCATGTTTAAAGATCTTCCAAAAAAATTTAAATACAAATTGTACCACAGTCCTAAAGTTTTTAACGATGCGAAATTCCTGGATGCAAAAACTCAAAAAAAATGAGAAGTTGATGACATTTTTTGATGATGCCTTAAAAACTGCATTCAAAATGTTTGATTTCCGTGTTCTTGAAAATAGATTGAAATAAATTTTTATCTGATTAGGTATCCCCACTCCATCCCGCCGCACTTCGAGCACTGGGTCTCTCTTTATTTTTTTAAATCATTTCTTTCCTATACGGCAAGATGACGGAGTAAAAATATTTAAAAATTTTATTAATATTAATACAGTTATACGTATTTTTAATTTGTTGGAGTAAAATTTCTTTAACAACTTTTACCGATTTTTTAACCATAAGATTTCGCAAAATATCAACTTTCGATTTTACCTATATCGAACCCATAAACTTTATCAAAATTACATTATGATGGAAAAATTTAACAAAAAGATCACGTATGCATATACAGAAGTGGTACGTCCTGGTTCCTGATGCTCCCACTATGCTAATTTGTCTAATTTAATTCAATGTTTGTGAAAAAAGCGTTTTAGAATTATTATTAAAATTTGATTGACCCTAAATGTATGCAATATTTTATAGCACTACGTACTATATTGAAAAATGATACGAAAGGATAAAATCCACAAAGTTATGTATAAAACATAAGTATAATTTAGATCTAATAAAAGTGAGCCGTATAAATTCAAATTAAAATTTACATGTTAAAAAATGGTTGATAAATTATGGATTTGTTTTATTCAGTGATTGTTTTGATTTAGATTAAGAATTATTGGAAAGCTCTTGTTGGAAAGATCAAATAACTAAATTCATATTGATTGAGTTTTTGAGGTAGTCTTTGCTAATTAAACAGTTAATAATTTAAAAAAAAAATAGAGGATTGGTCAGTTGGAATATCACCGCCTACAATCAAACTTATTTAAATTAAAATTTATTTACATGTTTAATTTTTTCAAGATTTATGACTTTTATTTACAAAATTATAACTCTGATAAACAAAATTTTATTATCCTTTTCTCATGTATTCTTACATAATTATTTACATTTCAATTAATAATAATTAATTTTCATTTCCTTTGGTTTAACATTTCATATAATTCTAATTCAAATTTCCGCAATTAATTTTTAAAGTTGCTGTAAATTTTAACATTTTTTTTTCGAATTCTTTTTACTTTTATTCAACTTAAATATTATAAAATGAAAATAATAATACAAGATAACCTATACTAATTATAATGCTAAAAGTTGTATCCTTTTTATTATTCTCAAATATTTTTGTAAAATGAAATGAGAAAAAGCAATGAAAATAAATAAAATAAAATTTTAAAAACCCTAAATCCAAGTTTTATGTTGCTTTGGTCCATTCTCATCGTCGTCATTATCATTCTCACTATGATGATGATGAAGATGATGATGCTGTAAATGATGATATGAAACATTTTGATTTGCTATCACTGGAGTTGTTACCGTTGTTGTAGTTGTTTCTTGAGTTGTAGCAGTTGCTGCTGTTTCCATTGTTTCTGGTTCTGCTCCTTTAGTTGCATATGATAAACCGATTTCATTATTTAAATTATTTTTACTAAATGTATTATTATTATGCATTAAACGGTGTCCATTACCGTTGCTAACCCGTTGTCAGGGTGTTTGACGTCTTGATGTTGTCCAACGTTGTGTTACCGTATTACTTCTTCCAAATTCATAATCATTTGGAAGAGATTGCATTCCACTACCAACATTATTATTGTTACCAATACCAGTGTTCTGACTAAAATGTACTGATGTTGAATTTGTTCCATGATGATGATGATGGTGATGATGATGATGTCCAACAGCACTTAAATGCATTGGAATTCTTACAGAACCTGAAAAAATTAAAAAGAAAAAGAACATAAAAATTAATTATCCTTTTTTTTTCATAATATTGAAAAAGTTATTTTATTTTTATATTAGGGCAATATTTTTGAAGTGGAAGTACTTAATAAACAAAAAGAATGCAATTTTTATAATTAAAATTTATGCTGGCTAAAAAATGTACAATAAATTTTTGTAACACAATAATATTTTTCAATTTTAAGTTTATTTAAATTTTTCGTTTTATTTAGAATGCGAGGCGGGAAAGCATCAGTAGCAGCCATTTAAATAAAGTTTCGTTTTCTATATAAACAATCAAGTCGATTTTATTTGAACTTCTATTGTTATAAAATGGTAGGAACTAACTGGATTCATTGTTATATAGGATTAAGTATAATGTAAAGATAGCATAAGTGAACTAAGTGCGTCAAATAAGTTTTTTTTTGAACCGGAGAATCCACCTATACTCGTACAACTCCAAAAGTTATTTGGCCATATCTAAGAAATTATTCAGCGCATAGTTTTTAATATTTGCACAAGCAAATATGCTGCCGGGGCGGTTTGTTTTATAAAAGTCATTGAAATTTCTCGATTGATTGTGGTCTCTGCCATGTAGCCTCATAAGATTCTATGGAATTATATAGTAACTATGATATATGTATAAAATAGCAGTAGACATAAAAAGCAAGAGTTTGTATGAAATCGGTGTCAATAATCTCCGACATTTAAAATCGTTTATTTGTACTGGTATCACTGGCCAGCTATATTTCATTCTCGTCTATTATTAGATTTAGACCTTCAAATTTTGTTCTCATTTTCATAAATTTTCCCGAGTATTCAAAAATCAAATAATTTTCATTTGTTTACGGATTTTTTTACAAAAAAGATTGCTTTGATTTTGTTTTTTACCTACTCTTGTTTACATACTAACTTGCAGATATGGCTAAAACTCGTGGGCTTATATTTAGATAAAACCGCTCTGCAAAGTAAATTAGTTTTTATACAAGGTAATTAATATATTTTATTAAGGAAAACTTACTTGTATTTTACTAATTAAGTTTAAATCTATTTTTAAAAAAATCAATTTTTCCCAATTTCTATAAAGTTTATCTTTTACTTTTTTAAGTAATTTATTCAATTGAAAATTTTGTTTTTCCAATACAATTTAAAAAATTCTGTTTGCTTCAAAAAAAATAATTATGTGCGAAAACCTATTCAAAAATAATAGAAAAGCAAATCCTTTTTCTATAATGAAGAGTACAGGAGATTAGTTTTTGTAAGACTTTTGTCCTGAATCCTGATAGAAATAGAGAGAGTAATGGGCAAATCAAAATTGTCCCAGAACTCTTTTAGAATTTTTTAACAAAATTTAAATTTCTTTATATTTGTAGCTTAAAAATTTTCTGACCAAATATGCTTATGAGTCCCGCTAAGGAAATCAGAAATTGAAAAATTAAAACTTTTAGGTAAATTGATGTAGCTAATAAATATATATGTTTCGGGTTCCTTGTTAATTTTATAGAACCACTATTGTTACCGAAAATGTTTTAGATTTTTCGAGTGCTTGTGTCTGAGAGCAGCAATTGCAATTTTATTTCAAAAATAATCTTGTATTGGGGCATTTACTGACCTAAAAATACTGTACACTACACCACCGACCCAAAATTAATTTAATTTTTGTTTTTTTTGTAAAGGTTTAACAGTTCTTGAACTCGAAATTCTATGAACAAATTCAAGATTCATATGAACTATTTTAAGAATATAACTATAGTATTATGATCTATAGACGAGAATGTTATAAGCATGGTAATTTTAGGTATTCTGGAAACATTGTTGATGCATACCAAAATTTTGTCCTTTTAATCCTTAATTTCATGATTTTGCATATTTTCATCATTAAATTTAGATTAGTTTTATACCTAATTAAAATAATTTTCAAAAGTGATAAAATTATATGAAACACCAAAGCTTCTGGGCGAAAAAAAAAAAGAAAAATAAAAGTAAAGAAGTGTTATTTTTTAATTTTGAATTTTTTGTTTTTCTTTAAAAAGTTTAACAGAAAATAACTTTTCGATTTTATTCTCTTTTGTATTACAAAAATATAACGTCAGAATATCCTGAAATATTTATAATAAAAAAAATGAAAGGATTAATTTCATTCAATTCATTTATAAGCGTTCTTTTTGTAGGCGAATCACACAGGGATGAAATTTATTAATGAAAATTTTGTTAAATTATTTGGAAATTTTTATGGTATCAGGAGTAAATTTTGTTTTCTGCTTTTGGAAATTTTATGACAGTGATATTTTAAGCATAACACATAAGACCAAAAAATATTGTAGAAGGATAATAATTAAGAAAATCCTTTAAAAGTTAATAAAAAAAAATGGCTAAACAATTATTTTCATTATTAAACGGCTTGTGTGTTGGTATTTGAAAGAGAAAAAAAAAATGGAAAGAGTTAAAAAAAATTTTGTTATTGTAAATTAATGAATGAGATTACAAGAAATAAGGATTTTACCTTTTTTTCTTTTAATGACTTTGAAATAATTAAAATATGTTTCTCTTTTTATCTTCTGCGTGGATTTCGTATAATAAGATTGAGATATTCTATGGTAAGTTGAAAGATTAAATGAAAAAGAAACCTGATCTTGCATAAGGTAACCAAAATTTTTCCACGCAAATATTAAGCACTCAATTAAGTCGACGGAAACAATAATAAAGTTTATATTTTAAGAATTACGTGTTTTTTATTTAGTTTAAATTTTATTTAATTTGAAAAAAAAATAAAATGCGAGGAAATTAAGAAAATTCAATTTTAATTTCAATTTTGTTCTAGTCCTAAAAATAAATGAGGTTGGGTCAAACCAATGTAGCACTTTTTCCTTCGACAAATGAACATCTTGCTTTTTAAAATGATGTTGATACTACATTATTAAAATTACATTTATTCATATAGAAATGTATTTCATTCATAAGGATAGCATACATTTAGGATGAGCAATAAAAGAATGAGATTAAATTAGGATGAGAAATAAAACAAAAAAAAATTTACCTTCCTTACGATAATGCGCGAATGTAACAATCAATTTCGTGAGTTGAGAAAAATAATTATATATTGTTAATGACATGATAATGAAAAGCTAACAGTTTCGGAATTATAAGGTACTAAAATCTCGAATTGCTCAAATTTCGGGAAGCGATAATTTGAGAGGAGGTATAATGAAGTGAACTATATATTAGTGCTGCTAAAATATCAGCACTTTGAAAATTATAAACTGCTAAAATATCAGACTCCTACAACCTAAGGTCTAGAAAAAAAATCAATTTCAAAAAATTTGGAAACAACGGATTTTATATGAAGTTATATCGTAACGGCCATTTTGGTTTTATTTGTTGAAGTTAAAGTATGTCATGGTAGAAGAAGCCAGTCACTATTTTTCTGCATTTGCAAAATTTGGTAAATAGTTTCACAGCAATAAATAGTTGAAAATGGCATCTTTGGGTATTTGGGGGCTTTAATTTTTGAAGAAGGATGATAGGTATAAATTTTCTTCTGCGGAAATAAGTTTCTGGCAAAGATCTGTGTACTTATAAAGTTTTAGCTTTTTTATCTTCCAGGGTGTAGAAGTTTTGTAAACAGACACACGAATGGACGGACGGACAGACGGACGGATAGACGGATGAATGGAGGGACAGAGTGAAATAATAAACACCCTTGAAGATTCTTTGAAAATTTTTTTTGGAAAAGGCCTTAAAAGTAATTTGACAGTAGTTACAGAAATCATACAGCAATGTCTTCAATGTTGTTATTTTAAAAAGAGCATATGTACCGTTACTTTTTATGGCTACCCATGCAAGTTACTTAACTTAAAAATTTTTTCTTAATGCAAGCAAGAGATTTTTTATGTTGTTCTGGTTAAAATATTTTTAGAATTCGTTTTGGTTTTTCCTTTTCAAATCTGCTGAAATATTTTCTACACTTCAGTAATACTTTACTAGTAATAAAAACTACTTCGCTTATTTTATCTATTAATTTCGCTTTCTCCCGGAACTTCTTTGTGGTGTATATATGAGTCTTATAACTGTATAATTTTTCATTTTTGTGGGATTTTGCTGTACCAAACTGTCCGACAAACACTTATAAAATAGAACTACCTTAGAATTTTTTGCAATTTTAAAACGACATTATAAATTCGATATAAAAGCTGTTTGTAGTATAGAAATATGAAATTTCAGAAAGATGCTGTGGTTAAATAGTTGTGAAATAATTTTAATCGCTTTGAACTCGTTGTAGCGCATCTATTTGGCATATTATAAATGCCATTTTTCAAACCTACTTTATTTATTTTGTGTTAAAAGAAAAGGTTTTCATTCTTATGAATTACCAATACAACGTGTAGTTGTTATCCGTTAATAGGCTTCACTAAATAAGCTACAGAGGTAGGAAGAAATTACCGGTAAGTTGTTCTTCACATATCCTTACAGTAATCTACATGATTACCAAATATTTGTTTATGTGAGATTGCTACATATAATCTTAAATACAAAATCATGTTAATGGATATTGTGCCTACTGCACTAATGACATTACTAATTCACAATACAACGTGTAGTTGCTTGTCATTATAATTAATTCTTATAAGAATAACTAATTGAAATTCCTTCTAAAAGTTGAGTTTGAAGAGAAAAATTTTTTTTCATTTTTCTGTCTTGACTCGTTGTTTTAATTACGTCATTCATCTGTTCTGCAGTTGTATATAAACAAATTTCCAAAAGTTATTCAGTATTTTTTGAATGCATTCCACCATTATTTTTTAAAAGTAAAATGATTTCGCCACATTAAAATGAAAAAATCCCATTAAATTTCCTTTTTAATGCTATTTTATTCCAAAGATCTTTAAATCATTATTTTTTTAAAGCCATTGTAAATCTTTCTTTTTTTTATTTTTTATTATTTCTTTGCAATTCTGTCTAAAATATTTTGCACTCAATGTAATAACTAACGTTTACATCCTTTTACCTCAAATTTCTCCATTAAATTATAACCTTCTGTATTAAATTGAATTTTTCCAAATGAACAAATATTTCAATTTCACGTGCTCACTCCTTTAAGGATGACATTTTTTTGTTTGTTTTTGTTTTTTTGATCTACTTTTTTTTAATTTTAACAAAATGATAACTTAAAGCTTTTTTGTCATTATTGAAAGTAAATCGTATATGTAATCTTACGCTTAACTCAAAATTTAATTTTGATAAAGATTTATTGGAAACAGAAGTAAAAAAAATGTTTTTTTTTTTAAAAAGTGTTAAAATCTTTATCATTGACAACTAGAAGATGTAAGTCAACCGAAATATGCAGGTAGAAATTGGGGCATAGAATTGGTCCGCGGCTATCATACTGGTTGCACACATGTGTTGAGAGGCCTATTCTTACGTACGGGACGTTGATGTAGTGACCGGCGGTGCACCGATCTGGGGAGCTCAAGAGGCTCGAAGAGGTACACAAGGTGGCATGCATTTCGGTGACAGGGACATTCAGAACAAGGCTTTGGATGTCTTACTTGACTTGAATACGGTGGATGGGTGAAGAATGTGGCCGCTAAGAGTGCTTGAGACTTCATGCAGAGAGTTTTCTAAGGGTGAGGACGTCCGGTATGGACGTCGGGACTGACGTCCATACCGGACGACTGATTATTCAACTCCAATGACTGACTTTCTCCAGAACGTATAGTCAATCTTCTGGGGTACGATGTAGAATACGGCAGATTGGGGGCGGCGGCCGTCCTTAAGGAAGTTGAAGAACAGTATGAGGAAACTAGAAAAAGGGAAGGCTTTTTTTGGTGCGGCAGTCGAACTTGTGCAACGACAAGAGCCCTAAGGCCGAAAAGGAGCGGTGCAAAAATGAGGGAGCTAAACCAAACCGTAATATGTGTAAATTGAAACAACTTTAAGGAGTTCAATACGTTTGATATACTAAATTTAATTATGAAATAAAAAAATTTAATAATAGCATAGCATATATAAGTGAGCACTGCCCCAAAAAATATGCAATACCCGGATGAACGAGTGCTCGAAGGGTATAATTCATACCAGTCCCTTTGTAACTCTAAGAAAAAGACGCTTGTGATACAGATACAACATAAATTTTTCATTAGCGTGGAATTCTAAGTTGATTTATCGATTGAAATTCAAAAACGTATTAAGTTAAAATAACCTATAATTTTCACAAATATGTAGATTAAAAGTCGTAAACTGAAGCCCATTTAATTTGGGTTCGAATGACAAATGTAGCAGGAGCTACATTTCACTTTCATCTGTTGGCTACAGAGCAATATCTGTGGATCCAAAAGTGCAAAAGATCAAAAACATATTTTTTAAGGTGCTTCTTTTTTTAATATGGACAACATATTGAGAGCATTATGAAGGAAAGTGAATTATTATGCATATATCTAACAGAACCGGGAAAAAAATTGGTGTATACTTTTTGGTGAATGAAGCATAATTTAGCTACAATGATACTTGTTGTTGTCTATATACAATGAGAAAAACCATAATTGTTCCTCATTTCAAAAGTATTTCGAAAGTAAGAATACCAGGAACAAAATATTTTACGTAAATTGTGAGGATGTGAAAGAAATTAAAATTAAAATTGAAAATATTTTGTGAAATTATGAAATGTTGTCACAACATGATACATGTAAGATACACACATATTAAATATATTTACGTATTAAACTTTATGTATATTCATACATACTTATTCCGAATAAAATTCATTATCCTTAAATTTAAAATATTTATCATTATACGAAAAAATAAATGTAATAATTCAACCATGAGAAATCAAAGTTATTATTTATTCATACATAATATATTTACATTACATTTCAAATATTTCATCTTGTATATAGCTAGCTTATATCCTTTCGTATATATCTAATTGAAATTTGTGACTTGAAATTATTATAAAATTTCCTAATAAATCCAGTTAAAATATCAAGGTAAACATATTATAATAAAAGAAAAAACATACAAAATATTTTATCCTTATAAAAATAACTGTATTTATATGTATATAATATGTGCATATGCAAATATGTACATAATATGTCTGATTTTCAAAAAATTTAATGTACTTGAAATCCCGATTATCGGAGAATGAAAAAGAATAAAGAATAAAGAAAATTATGTGGAATGACTTTTGATAATCGATAAGAAAATGCAAAAGGATAATTTAAAAAATATCTTGTTAATATAAATTCTTAATATTATTAATTTAAAAATTTTTATAGAACATGGTGGGTTAGACAGAGTAACATTAAATAAAATTCAATCATTAAATTTTTTCGTATAGATTTCCGTTTTCACATTAGATTGAAATTGTTAAAATGTATTTATGACATTATACAAATAAATCGGATTTTCAATTAAACAGAGAATTTTAAATTATCTTTACATTTAAACTTTTGAAAAATATTTAATCAAATATTTAATCAAATATTCAATTAAAAGTACAAATTAAATTCTTCAACCGAGCACAAAACCTGAGCTATAAATGTATAGCCTAAAATTTGTTCCAGATATTTCAAAAGTTGTTTTACAATTCTATACTATATTTCGTTTATATTTAGTGTTAGCAGTGATTCTAGATTGCCAGATTTATCTGAAATTTCCAAATTTTTGGAATTTTGGGAAGATTTTTGCCAGATGAAAATTCTTGCCAGATTCTTGACGCCTGTGAATTTTAGTTAGAAATTTGTGTAATTTACAAATGTACATAATCTGTTCGTAATTAAATGATTTTGTCACTCAGTAAATTTATGTTACTTTTATGCGTGTAGGCAATTAGCAAATAATGTTGAATAATATATAATGGTTAACAACGAGATATCTATAACTTCATTGCTTAAAAAAAATACAATGACTTTTAGAATTAAAACCAAATTTCGATTTTTCAACAAAAAATAAATCTGTCTCAAAGTGATTTGCTTTGCAAAGTGTTATTGTCAGAATTATATGAATTATTTGTTTAAATTTTGTTGTTTGAAATTAAATTATTGAATTGTTTAAACTTCTTTTGAAGTTTCGATTTTGTTATGTTAAATTTGTAATATTTATATAGCCTATTTTATTTAGTTTTATATTTGGAATAATTCCAATTATATGGAAGTCGCAAATTGGACAAGTTATATATTGAACTAAGTAATCGGCCAGATTTTGCATGATTTTTCGCGACGAAATTGAAAATTTTCAGTTAATCTCATTCAGCATCACTCAGTGTAACACCCCGGAAAATTGATGACCTACTTAATTTCTTAACAACCATTTTTACCCAGTTCCTAGCAATTGTTCTAAAAACAGTTTTAATTAAGTAAATTTAAAAGATAGTATGAAAGTTCGTATTAAAAGAACAAAGCTGAATAATTTCCATTTTTCCAAACATACCAATGGTCCCTCCTAATGAACATGCCAAATATCGTTAAATATAACATTATTTCATATTTAATATAACAACAAATTATTGAAATAAGCAAAAATCTTAAAATAAATATAAAACATAATATAATTTATGGTAAAAAAATATATATGTATATGTAAAAGCTGAAATTAATGGAAAAAAATCAATAGAATTAATCAATAGAAAATATAAACAAATACAACAATAATAAATATTAAAAGAAAAAAAAAAATATAATAAAAATGTGAAAAAAGGACAGAACAAAACTATTCTACTTCTTACCACTTCTTGATCCAGGGCAAGATGAATACAAGAAGGAACGTTCTGTGTCTGAAAATGATATGATAAAAAAAATAGAGAAAATAATAAATAATAATAATCACAAAAATAAAAAAAAATGAAATATTTATTAAGCATAGAAAAATATTTGTGTTGTCTCTTTTCTGCTATTTTTGGTATGTAGCTACATTTAGATAAGAACAGAAAACATTAATGCTAATAAATGACAGACAAATGACATAAATTTTACTTTAATAAGTCAGGAAAGAATTTAATGTCAGAAATGTCAAAATATTAGCATTTGATGAGCTGAAAATATTATTTGTGGAATTTTGCAAATGGTTTTTACTTTAAAAAACCAAAAATATTACAGGAAAGAAAGCCATGTTTCATTTCTTTTTTTGTATTTTATGTTGATAACAATTAAATTTAATAAAATTTTAGTAATGAAGTAGTTGAAAAATTTGTTTATTTCAATTAAGTTTGATTAATTTTTAAGAACTTTTGACTTTAAGTTAAAATAATTTACTTTTAATTCCTTAAATTTTGAGTTCTTTAAACAAAGTTAATTAAGGAAGTAGGGATTATTTATTTTAACGTTATAAAATAAATAAACAATAAACTGCTTTATGTCAAAAACTACTTATTTTTACTGATCGATGTGTGATCGCACCAGATTTCACATGTCGAGTCGACACGACACAGAATTACAGGGGTAATAAAACGCAAATAAACTAGTATCTCAGTTTTTGCAGAACTAATTTAAATGGAAATTTATATCTTAGTTTATTTTAGCTATGTGACTGATTAATAAATTTTTGGATATGCAATGTCTCTAATTTTTAAGAACATGTTTAAGAAATTTTTATATAATATGACGAGCTATTTAACTTTTCAAGGAAATCAGTTGCCAGAAATTGGGTTGTTACTACAAATCAAAGTCATATTTTTACTCTTAATTACAGAAGTAAATAAAAAATTCTATTGCTATTTAATATTTTAACTATTCTTGTAAAAATAATAATATTCTGGTACATATTAGGATTCGGAATATGCGCTTTCACTAATTGTGATTATTAGAAACAAAAATTTTTTTAACAGGAAATAGTAGAAAACTTTCGTAATTTATAGTTTGCGTTAAAATTTATATAGGAAATACATTTTGTTCTCAATTTCGAATCGATATATGTATTTTAAAGTGCACAAATAGCCTATTACCAAAATGGAATCAGATTAATTTATTGATCTATATATGAATATATGCATGTATATTTTTCATTTTTGGAAAATCTGTAGTCAACTCCTCTTATTAATTTTTAACCCTACATAATATACTTAAATAAGCTCATTTGCAAAGTTTACCTAGTATCTTCCGCTCTTACTTTATATACTGTTAAATTTCTTTTGTTAGGTATTCAAACTATTCAGCATCTTCCTTACAAGTTTGCTTCATTAAGCAATTTAATTGTAATTGAATTCAAAGTTAAAACTTTTTGCATTTATAATTTTATATCGTAGTAAAATAATTATTATACAATGAGTGAAGAAAAGTGGTAAAACTTTTAACATTACAATGTACATAGATTATGTTCAAATTCCAAAATTAATTATGTAAGTATATTGCGAAAAAAAAAACGCAATTTACATAATTTTTGTTTCATTATTTTAAGAACAAAAGACTCATAATTACTTTGGGGGGTTTTTGTAACACTTTTTTTGTAAATTTACCCTTATGAATGTGAGCTCCGTTTACTATAGCTATTCACAAAAATATATATGCAAGTGTATATAACAGATATGCAAGTATTTTCATTCAAAATTCTGGATCACTGCATTTATTTTTTGTTGAAAAAAAACACTTCAACATCATTGGAATAAAAGGATTTCTTTTTTTAATTAGAATACATAGCACTCGAAAGTTTCCCTTTTTCTACATTTTAATTAAATTAATGTTTGCATAAGACTTATGTATATTGAGAAGTTTATAAATTTGTATAATAAAACTTTTTACAATATAATTTTGTTTTTATAATTGGTTAACTCAACCCTAATAATATAAAAGTATGGATGTACAAAAATTTATGCCATTTAAAGATCAAGGATGTTGAATTCTTGTACGCTTAGAACTTCGTTAATCAAAATGCAAAATTTAGTTAGAATTATTGGAAACGGAAACAGAGCCAAATTGGGAAGACGATAAGCTAATATATTACTGAAAACTTCCCTGGCCGAAAACTTATACCTAATTATATATCTATTTGGTAAGTGCTCTATTTTTGACATTCTACAAGTAATACGAGTATTAATCCAATTCAACAATGAGTAACTTTAAAAAAAATCGGAGACAATATTTGTACCCATTGCACTTGTTATACTGGTAACATTGACCTATAATTCAGTTATTATAAAATGCTATATGCACTGTGAGAAACTGTAAAATTTTTTGGTTTTGTATTTCCGATGTGCACAAAACAGTGCGGGATTTTTAATCTTTTTGCACTTTGACAAATTTGATGATCTGAAAATCGTGTATCTGAAAAAAATCTATACTTGTACTATAGACCAGCAAAAAAGTTGTATCGGGAGAGAATTTTTTTTTCTATAGCTACATTTTATTCAATGCAATTTCAATAAAATAAAATTCGGTTTCTAGAACCCGAGCTCACTATGAAAAAGTTTATTACAGCAAGAGAAACACGACACATCTCTAATTAAAATTGATCATCACTGATTGAGAATCACTGGTGTAAAAAAAATAGTTGTACACTCATTGATAAAATTGAAAAGTTTTTACAATATTTAAAGTAGATACCTGCGTATACCTTACTAGCATAACATTTGAGGAAAATGTAACAAAATCAATAAGTTTTCACTATGTCATTTTTAATTAATTTAGTTTTCACCACAATGTTAAGGTGCTGTGTTAGTTGCAATTTCAAATATTTCAAGGCATACCAAATTTTTAGGGGCATGCTTACTATTTGTACACATACATATTGTACTTTAACAATTTCAAAGCTGAAAACAAAAGATATTTCTGCTACGAATATCTTTTTAACAGGAAATTTAAAATCAAGGTAATTCAAAGAAAATTAAGTTCATTAAATGACAAATTAATCAAATTAATTAAATCACTACCTTCAAATTCCCTTTTTAAATATTCCTTGTGAACAAGTGAACTGCATATAACAAGGGAACAAGTCAAGTTTTCGATGGAAGTGAACATTTTTCTATGATAAAGAAGTGTAAAAATAAACTAGAAAAGTACCGAAACCGAAAAATTTATATGTGTGAAATTAAGTAAAAATAAATTTTTGCCCTAGTCCAATTTTAGTTTTTGGGAATTTTTGAAAAATTGGTTAATAGATATTTACCCCAAATCTTATATTCTTCAATAGGCTTGAAGCTTACTCTGTCCAGCAATTAGAAAGCAAAGTTTTTTGAAATTAGATGCGAAAAAAAATAAAATCTTACTAATGCCATTGCTTTGGTTCTACTTAATTGATAATGTGCTGGCAGCATCAGTTTATTAACAAATAATAAATTCACTTGAGAAATTGAATATTACTAACATATAAAGTAATATTTGAGAATAATAACAAGTTCTGAATTTTGAGTGATAGCATTTAAATATTAAATATTTATAGATAAATAAAAATAACACTTAGTCATCAATATATACATTTTTCATAATCTTAATGTGAAAATAATTAGTAAAGTGTAAACGATAAAATCAATTGTTAAACGCTAGTAATCGTCGATTAAGTTTATAATTTTCTTGGAACTATGATGATAATTCAATTTATAAACTGAAATTTCCTATCCTTAACTTTTGATTAATGATCTGCTCAAGGAAAATTTCTACTTTCGCAAAATTTCTTCATTGAAAATTTTATGTATTGTATTTTGGGTATATTCAAACACGTGTATACTGTAAATAAACTGTTAAGGTAACTATTTTATTATTTAACATTCATGTTGTTTAAGTTTTCAATAAGCCCTTTTGTAAAAGGACTTATTATTGTGGAAAATAAAAGTGTTAGGTCTCACTAAGATATTTCGAACATTATAGGTGAAAGTAATATGTAATAAATTCTCAAAGACATGATGAAAATAAGTATAACTTTATTTCACTAAATGAAAGTTGGAGGAGGGAAAGTATATATTTTTGTACGTAAGCATTTATTATAATATGATTAACTTACCATTTCTTATAATTCGGTTGTGGTCCGGCGAACCCGAACAGGAATACCTCGACGTAAGAACTTCTCTTCGTTGCAATCTGTCTGGGGTAAGGTGCACGTAAGGACACCACCGAAAAAACTGCTTAAATCCTCTTCGAAACCTGTAAGAAATTAACCAAATTAAATTTTCTACTTAAAGATTATAGAATAAAATAAAAATCACTTTAAATGAATTTTAAGATTTTGGAAAAATACTGAATTTTATAAATGTTTGTAATTTATAGTTAAATTGTTCTGTATTGAGGGTAACTAACAAAATTTTTTTACTAATTGAACTCTCACCTACTTCAAAATGTGATACTATATGTTTTAGCGATTAAATTAATTTTCAAAAAAAATATTATTCACATGCTCATCTGTATTGTTTGTGTCCAATAGGGGAAAGAGGGGGAAGGGGGAGGGGGCGCTGAAACCCTTACTTGATTATTGTAAAAATGATTTATAAAAGAGGAAGTTAAAGTAATAATATTAAGAATAATGTGAATAATTAAGATCAAATAACAAAACAGATTTATAAATAGAAAATTTTATTTTATTTCTTAAATTTAAAATTTCTTCGGAAAAGATTAAGTTAGAAAAAATAAATCATCATAAATTATTTTAGTAATTTTAGAGTATTTTCGGAAATTAAGTTTCTCATTTGTCTTTGCCTTATTAGATCGTGTTCATATCTGGGTTTATAAGAGGAATTAATTAAATTTATTTAAAATTTGTAAAAACTTCCATGGAACGCCTAAAATAAGGTAAGATGGTCTAGGAAAAAAAAGAAGAACCATGACCTGAGTAAGAAATTACATAGAAGTTTGTAAACAAAAATGTGGCCGCCAATTAATATTTCTGCACGCTATACAGTGCAGCATGAAGTTGAATAAGTGCATTTGAAATCAAACGAAAATTCCATGTCGTAATTTAATTTACAAATTCGATTTTATACTTTTTAATTAAATTTGGGAATTTAAATGAATAGATTAAACATGCAATATTTTATTTTCCGAAGTTCGTGCTTTTTTTACATATCTTTCAGCTACATTAGAGATTTTTGTAGAAGAAATGAAAATTACATTAACCTTAACTCTCATTGTTTAATGTATGCAATTTCTAAAATGTATATACATATATTGCAAAAACAAAAATTCAAAGTTACTGTGTTTGTTGGGGTTATAGAATTTAACCTTATTGTACAATAGGGAACTTTTATTAAAAAAAAAAATACTTCTACTACATTACGCAACATTCATAATAAAATAATAAATTTTATAAAAGCATAGAAACCTTGAAATTTTTTGTAGAGTTAAAACATTTCCTTAAAGAAAACATAATTTAATTTAATCTTAGATTTCCAGTGAAAATAAATTTATATAGAGTATAGCATTTTTCTCTATTGTTCTCATATATTTTTTTTGTATTACTCTATATATGAACATACATATATTACATACATAGTTTAACTAAATTAAAGCTATATGAAGAAAATTAAATATCCTTTTTAATTCTTTCTGAATTATTTATTGCAGTATTAAATATTCCCATATAACATATAATATTCTTTCATATACAAGTTGAGTATAATATAAGTCTTTATAGTTCTTAACAATATGTCATCTATTATTTATTTCATTTAGGTCATTGTATACATTTATTCTGTAAGTATATTCGTCCTCAAAATTCTTTCTATATATTTAGCATCTCGTTCATATTTTATTATTTTCTTACGAAAAAAATTTTTATTAAATTATAATATACGTATTTAGTTGGGATGTAAGGTTTTATCACTTAATCCAAGTTATAATATTTACATTTTATAAAAGGTAAAATGTTTATGATGGGAAATAGGAGTCACAGGTTGTGCAAAATAATAATATAGTATATAATGTGAATATTAAGAATAAACATAATTTAATTACGATTATTTTACTATTTTATTGATTACCCACATATACTTATCGCCGAATATTACAAGTGTAGTGGAATAAAAACAAAAGGTTGTTAATTTAGATGAGCATTTTTTTAATAATAAATATGAGAATGGAAGTTGGTTAAAAAATAATATAAATAACAAAAATTTCATTTATTATGTTTATGCCTATTAAATATTTTATACAGTTGTAATTGAAATGCAAATATACAATATCGTTATCTTTAAAATTCGCTAAAATAGGACTTAAAAAAGATACATTTTTTTAACAAAACAATTTTATTTAGTTAACCAAGTATTTGAAGCAAATAAAAACGGCGTATAGGTTGTGTTTGCTTTATACATTTAGAAACCATTCCGGAACCTAACCTAAAATACATTGTTGTATTTTCTTTATAGCTTTCTAAATCAAAAAAACATAGATGAAGAACTCGAACAAAACGAATTTATCTGTGATTTTCGAAATTTTATCTTTTATTATTCTTTTCCATAAGTTAAAAATCCAAAATTATTAATACAACTAAAGCAAAACGTTCCGCACATCAGTACAGGTATTAGTGCTTCATAGAGTGAATCGTTTCAATAAAATTCGTTTTGTTAATTCCTTACAATTTGGCAAAAATATTTAATATTGCATATCCGTAGGCGTTGAAAAAACGGATGGACTGATATTAGAACAAACATTTTTTGTCATTTAGTTCGGGTTTATTACAATTGATTTCAAAGGTTACGTTGACATATATAAAATAATTCAAGATAAAATTTTTGCGAAAACGTCTGACAACTGGTTAAGTATTAGACTGCAACTATTTGATAGAATTTAGAAATTTAAATTTAAATTTTAGTAGCGAAATACTAAAATTATAAATAAAACAACCAAGTAAACAACCGACTGCCAAGTTTCATGAATCTGACTTTATAATTTTTCCAAATATTTAAAATTAGCTTTTGGAGTTGTATGGCAAGTACCTGAACCTGTCAAACAATTCCATCAAAACTTCACAAATATATCTGATCTACAATCGGACACACAACTGCCAAGTATTATGAATCTGACTTTATTATTTTTCCAAATATTTAAAATATGCTTTTGGAGTTGTTTGGCAAGTCCCCGAATCTGTCAAGCAATTCCACTAAAACTTCACAAATATATATGATCTATAATCGGACACACAACTGCCAAGTTTCATGGATCTGACTTTATTATTTTTCCAAATATTAAGAATAAGCTTTAAGACTTGTATGGGAGCTACTCGAACCTGTCAAGCAATCCCATTAAAATTTTAGAAATATGTCTGACCTATAATTGGACACACAACTGCCAAGTTTCATCAATCTGACTTTATTATTTTTCCAAATATTTAAAATTAGCTTCTGGAGTTGTATGGCAAGTACCCGAACCTGTCAAGCAATTCCTCTAAAACTTCACAAATATATCTGATCTATAATCGGACATCCAACTGCCAAGTTTCATGAATCTGACTTTATTATTTTTCCAAATATTTAAAATTAGCTTCTGGAGTTGTATGGCAGGTACCCGAACCTGTAAAGCAATTCCTCTAAAACTTCAGAAGTATATTTGACCTATAATTGGACACATGACTGCCAAGTTTCATGAATCTGACTTTATTATTTTGCCGAATATAAAAAATTTGCTGTTGGAGTTGTATGGCAGCCACCCGAACCGGTGCAGCTATCCCATTATAATTTTTAGAGCATGTGTAGAATATAATTGGACACATGTATACAAAGTTTTATATTTATAGCTTTATTAGTTTTTGAAATATTTAAAATAAACTCTTTGAGTTGTATGGCAGCTACCCGAACCCGTTGTCCGAATTAGTCCAATAACAATAGGGCTCGTCCTTGGCACAAAAGAAAAAACTTGTGAAAGTTTGGTGTCGATTGCATTATTCGTTTTTGAGTTATCGTGCGAACGGACGGACGGACGGACGGACGGACGGACGGACGGACGGACGGACAGACGGACATGTCTAAATCGACGCAGAATTTTACGCTGAGCAAGAATATATATATATGTCCATACCGCAGATGACTCCTTCAAGTAGTTACAAACTCCATACCAAAGTTAATATACCCTTCACGAAGTGCAGGGTATAAAAAACACTGTTCAATATTACTTTTAATAATCTGACGGTAAATCTAATGACACTAGTGCAGTTCCTGTTAAGTATTTGCCGTAAAACAAAGTATGACGTCATACAGTATTTACATATAACACCTATTAAACTATAAAATTAAATTTTAAATTTCATCGTGTATGTCAAGAGTATCTAACATATTAAATTTTTTGATATTCTGTACCTTCTTTGAAAACATAAAAATTCAACCAGACTTTTTTTAAACATTTCAAAATTCGCAAACTTTGCTAACACGGAACCAATGCACTTGCCACAAACTTTTCTTAAAAAATTTCTTATTTTTACTTGTATTTAATTTCCCATAAACATAATTTAGTGAACAAATTAAATATCAATAAAATTTAATCTTAAAGAGCTTTAAACCATACCTATAACAAATGTTTATTCAAGTACACTATAACCATATGTTTTGAACTCACTCACGTATCCTTTTAAACTTCTTTTTAATATTTTATTATATTTTTATTATTTTGTTTTGTTTTTTTTCTCTGTTGAGTTGTTTATTTGCGGTACGTAACCTTTTTTTGAATAAAGAAACCTAATTTTCCCCACTAACATAATTTTTGTACTATGCGTAAAACATGGTTGTACACATCCTTAAACACGCAATTTATATACATAAATATTGAATGTATATCAATAGAAAGAGCAAAATATTGTCATTGTATTATTATTATTAGCAATTTTTTTCCTATATAAATATATATACCTTTTTTTATTATTATTATTATTTTCGATTTTGATATCCTTTAACCATGTCGAGTAGCACGCAAGGAGGCTTTTTAATAACACGTTTTAATATCTTATACAATTTGAATATAAAAGAATTGGGATTGTATCCGAGTAGTTATGGTAAAAATTTACCGTGAAAAGATATTTGATTTGAATAATAAGTATATAGTGAAATTATAAGCGTAATAAGACTTAGACAGGAAAAATTATTTTGAATAGATTATAAGAAAGTTAAGAAAGGTATACACTTAACTAAAATACTAAAGAAAACAAAAGTTTCACCCGTCAGCAC